TGGTGAGTCTGCCGGTCCGGAATGTAAAGCTGCACTACAAGAAACTACTCGTCTTGTTGAAGGAAGACTTGCAACCAACGGGAAAGCAGTAAAGGCGTTGTTTGGTGCAACCCAGGTTGGATTTTTCATCCCTTCCATTCATCATTTGTAAATCATGATATACTTTCAAAGCATGACTCTACTTTCACACCGGTAGGATTTTTTTTAATACTATCCACCTCGCATCTTGACCTTAAGTCTGTTTGCAGCTTGATATTGAAGGTGATTTCTTGTATTTTCTGGCAGATGCTGCTGTTGTAGCGGTAAATATTACTTCTTTCTTAGTTTTATCAATCAGTTTTCAGTTTCTCAAATTAGTGATTATTATTTGTTTGAACATTTTCAGTTTCAATATGGAAATCCAGATAAGTTATGCTTCCCTCTTGTTCAAGCAAAGAACAATGGAGAGGATTTGGTGGTATGTTCCTCTTCTTTCCATTCCGTTTGGTTCTTTAATTGAAGCAATCATGGTCCATTGTGTTCTATCTTGCAGTGTCCAAATGAATTACCTCTTTATGAAATATTTCTAATTTCAACTCTAGCGGTCGCATGAAATTTCTATAGCACATTTCCTCTGTTTAGTTTTTAATATGAATTCATTGTTTATGTTGTACATTTAAAAAAAAAAAAAAAAAATTCTAACTTCCCAATGAGAGTAAAAGAAAAAAAAGAAGAAGAAGATTGTTTTAACTTGGTAAGTTGTAAGCGGTGCTAATCATCTGGTTCTTGACCTTATGCTTCATGAAGAACAGAGATGCACATATCATTTTTCTCTAAATGTCTAATGTTTCTAATGGAAATAAATAATCTCCTTGTAGGATGCGTATGCCAAATACGTTAAAGAGTACTACCTTGGAAGTTTTGGCGCTGACGTTGAAACATATAATCAGGAACGCTTGAAGAACACTTCTGTTAGTGAGGGCAGTTCTGATCGGTTGTGGTGGTTCCAAGTTTGTACTGAAGTTGCATATTTTCAGGTGGCACCTGCAAATGATAGCATCCGGTCTTCAAAAGTCAACACAAGGTATGTTTCTGAAAATGCTTTGATCCAAGCATTACATTTTTATCATTTCTACTTTGTTGCGCTTCTAGGCATCTCTGGTTGATAGTTTTTCATTGTTGCAGATACCATTTAGACCTTTGTAAGAATGTTTTTGGAGAGGATGTCTATCCTGATGTTGCTGCAACAAATATATACTATGGAGGCAAAAAAATTGCAGGTCAAACTTTTCCCAGTAATTATATATTACTATTTAGTAGCATCATTTCTATCTACTCTTTCATTTTAGCTCTTAACCTTTATCACCATTTATTCATTTTCCTGATTTTTCTAAATAAAGACACATCTGGGTATTTATCATTGGTTCACATGATCTTATGAAAAATGAATCTGCAGGTTCAAAAATAGTTTTTACAAATGGCTCACAGGATCCCTGGCGTCATGCATCCAAACAGACTTCATCTCCAGATAGTGAGTATCCTATTGCTTTGACGAGAAGTCTCATTATTGTTATCCTATGCTCTGATTTGAAATTTTTTGAACAATGTTGCTTTGTATCATGCTTGATATTCTAGACTAAATTGTACCCTGTCTTTTGTACCAAGAAGGAATTTTCTCCTAATGAGTTTACTCGTGATCCATTACAGATCTAATCTTTGTACCACCAAATTTTGTTTGGATGGTTTTCATCTGCAGCAGTTTTAAACTTGTATTCTAAGGATATTGCACGTTTACTGTGCCTTTGAGACGTGTTGAACTGTTATGGAAAGTCACTTTAGAAGGGATAAGACATTTGATAGACTTTCACTTATTTTACACAATCTTGGATCTTTCTGTACTCTCGTTTCCTGAACTCATTTTTAACTTTCAGTGCCTTCCTACATCATCAATTGCCATAATTGTGGTCATGGAACTGATTTGAGAGGATGTCCTCAGTTTCCTTTAACTCTTGAAGGTATGTATTATTTGTCTGTCTTTATATTAGTTTTTATTTAGAATACAATTAGTTATGAAAATGCCAGCTACTTATTATTAAGATGAAGGTTTGAAATTCCCCTTTGTGGAGCCAGTTTGGCTTCATATTAAGTTTTCCAGATTGCTGTTGGAGCCAGTTTGGGATTATATATCCTTCGGTTAAATTTCTTCCATCTTTTTACTGATATAAAGCATGCATACCAGATTGCGACCTTTAGTTTTGTGGTTCTGGGTGCAGACGTGGTATGGGATGTCAATTCCCTTGTGTTTGTTGGGTGTTGCCCCTCCTCCCCAACCACCTTTCTCTGTATATTTGCAAGGAAAAGAACAAGGATGAAAGAAAAAAATGCACAAAAATACAGAAATGGAAAAACTACCTAGTAGCTGAATATTTTTGCCAAGTTAAGAAATTACTCAATTCAAAGTTTATCCCGGGTTGAAGAAGAAAATTGTGGAGTAGCTGGGTTTTGTTATTAACATGCACTTTTTAATTTCAGCAGCCATTGGAAGTTTCCCATGTTTATAAAGGGCGTTAAATGCGCCTCAACGTTGGATACTTTGGGTCCAAACATGATTTTCACGGATGGATGTTCTTGTTGATAATTTTCCCATTCTGATGTTGTATTTATTAGAATCTATGACTTCTCCGTTTCAGGCAATTCCCAGAACTGCAGCAACCCTGATGCAGTCAACAAAGTAAGGCAGCAACTTGTAGAACACATTGACTTGTGGCTGTCTGAATTTGACGAATCTGGTAGGAGCTACATGTAATATACTTTAAGTGATGCGCGATGTGTTTGTATAACTAATCTTAAATCTCACCTCTACCTTCTCAACAGATGTTTAATTATTAATCTAGCGAGGATAATCGCAGTATGTACCCAGATCGTATGTATAGGTATAAAGTCTTTTTCTTTTGCTACTTCCATGTTATTGCAACATCAATGAAAAACTTACGAGACTTTTGCCGTAGGGGCATATATATTATCTATGTTTTTCATTTTACATTTTTAACAACTTCTTGTTTCATCAGTCTTCCTTTTCCTCTTCCTCTTCCAAATCCTCCCCCATCAATTTTGTTTACATTGTGGTCGTCCATTTTTGCCTCTTTGCTTCTTGATTTTCAATCTTATTAGCCTCTTCCTCTGTTTCATCGTTCTCAACCTTATTACATTTGAGGAAATTAGTAAGCCTGTCAAGAGCAACATCATCACTTTTCATGAGCTCCTCGGCAACCTCTGCTGGGGTGACCTTTGCGCTCTCTATCAACCCTTCATTCTCTCCCCAAAGCTGATGAGGGCGGTCGTGGCCACGGAAGCCAAGGTAGTTAGAGGCCAAGATCCTGAACCCACTTGTGGTGCAATAGGACATGTGAATGTGGACGTCCATTCGACCAGGACGCAGCAAAGCTGGGTCAAGTCTATCCTGTGGTTTGTGGTGAACACAATGATTCTCTCATCACCACAGCTTGACCACAAGCCATCTATAAAATTCAGTAGGCCTGAGAGAGTCAACTGCAATTAGGTCCGCTTTAGAAACTCATTATATTACACACAAAATGTAAAATATAAAATAAATAGAGCACTGAGCACTGACCCTGTTGTTAGATTGGTGTTGATACACAAACTGCTGCTGCTCATCGAACTGCTGGTCGTGCATTTCCAGACTGCAATCAATGTCCTCAATCACCAAAATCGAACGGTTGGTAGTGGACAGCAATATCCTCCTCGGATCATAGTTGCGGTGAATACTGGTGAGCTCCAAATCATACACATCAAACTTGAGATAATTAGCCATGGCCGCAATCAAGCTCGATTTTCCAGTGCCAGGAGGGCCATATAACAAGTAGCCTCTTTTCCAAGCCTTCCCCACTTTCTTATAAAACTCCCTCCTCTTCACAAACCTGTCCATGTCCTCTACAATGGTTCTCTTAAGCTCCGGCTCCATGGCCATCGTCTCAAATGTAGCTGGGTGCTCCAGATTTACAGAACCCCAAATGCTCGAACCCATGCCGTTCTCGTCATCACCCAAGCATGGATCTCGGGTGTAAAGTTTCACTACTTTTTCTTTCTGTTTCATTGCATTGGCCTGAGCAAACACATGAGGCAAGTAAAAGTCAACCACTTTGTCTTTGTGTTTCTTGTGGAATGTTAGCAAAGCAACGCTTTTCACTAGACTGGTTGTTGTTGTTGTTGTTGTTGTGACGGCGGAGGCTGTGGTTTTGGAATTCGGACAGTTGATCGGAGGAGCAGATGTAACGCCATGTTAGTTTAACGTTGTCAAATGTGTCGTTGACTTGTTGGCCTTGGTCAATGGAAAGGCTGATGGTCTTCTTTTGAGGGGTTTTGCTGACCCGAAGACGTTCGGTCAACGGACTGATCTTGGTCCGGAGGTAGAGCTCGGCAGCGTCACAGACTTGGTTGCGTGTCATGCCGGAGTGCTCGTAGATAATGAGAGTGAGGTGGGAGGAGAGGGGTACAAAGGTAGCTGAGGCTTGAGTAGATGTAGGAGTGGAGCTGGCAGGGGATGAGCTGGTCCGCCATGGAACGGACCAGCATAATGGAGGCTGCAAAGGAGGCGTAGGCTGAGAAGAGAGTGGATGCTGTTGTGGGTGCATCTTTGAGGCTAAACATTGTGGTCAACTCTTTTTGACTTCAATTGGTTGAGCTGGAGTTGGGAGGTGGAGAAAGCTGAGGGGGGAGAGGAGTTTTATAATGAGTTGGAAGAGTGGGAAACTTGGGCAGCAAGGAAAAATATGGTGCAAGCTGTTCAAGTTTCAAAGAGTTTTCTCTGTGCTTTAGAAGGTTCCTATTCATTTGTGAAGTCAAAAGTCAACACGCCATATGGTTTGCACAAAAGAATATGTGGGGATAATGGGGATAAATGCAAGCTATGAATGAAGATGATATAAGCTTAGGGTCCCATAGTCTATTAGGTTAAGGACCAAACTGATGCATTGACCAAAAAATTAAGGACAACCGTTCGTGATAAAAACCCTTATATTAATCTCAATCTCGTAAACAACTTGATTTACATGGTTAATTGGAGGATTTAGCAGCTAATCTAAGCCTAGTAAACGTGGCCCTTGACAAACATGCCTTGCTTTGATTCCTCAGACTCCCCTTCACCTGTGTATTTTCCAAGCTGAGCAAGAGAGTTGGCCTTTGCCCTGACTAGCAGAGCTTCTTGAGCCCCCTTCACATTCTCAGGTCTTCCTCCCCACTTCTTAAGGCAAGTGTTTTGGAGGGCTCTTGCATATGAGAACGATACGTGCCATGGGTTGGGAGCTTGGTTCATTGCATTCAGGTTCAATGTAGCCTCTACCTCTGACTGCCCACCAGACAAAAACTGCACAATCAAAGCATGAGTTCCACAAAATTAGAAGCAACCAAAATAGATTTCAAAGTACAAAGTTTTAGCCTTTAAGCTTCCATTTAATTATCTTTTCAATATCAACTTCAAGGTACTATTTTAAGACAGAGTTATGGGGTGCTTGCCATGATTCCCGGGACGGCAGGGGGGATTCGTTGGCGGAGGAGCCTGAGGGTGTAGTCAGCAACTTGTTCTGGTGTGGCTCTGTCCTTGGCCTCTGCACCAGGAGTGACCATGCTTGGCTTGAGAAGAATGCCTTCAAACAAGACATCGTTCTGGGAGAGGTAGAAGAACACCTCTGCCCACACTTTCTTAGCCACTTCAAAGGTCCTGTCAATCCCATGATCTCCATCAAGCAAGATCTCTGGCTCAACAATTGGTACCAAACCATTGTCCTGTAAGGTCACGTAGCAAAAACGTCCACCATTAAAAAAAAACCAAAATAGACTGAAAAAAGAAACATACCAGAAAATTAGCTATTGGTTTCTATATCATTTTATTGTTACCTGAGAGATGGCAGCATAACGAGCCAAACCCCAGGCTGCTTCCTTCACAGCCAGTTCAGATGGGCCATTTGGAATGCTAATAACGGTTCGCCTATTCTATAAACAAGTAATTAAAAACATACATTTACTATACAAGTGAAACTCAAAGACAATTGCCAAAATGACCACAGAACAAGAAGAACAAATTGTTACTTCAAATGGTTTCAGAAAGAAGAAAAAAATTACTTCAAACTTGTGTAAAATAGAGCAACAAATATACTCTACCATTTTGCAAAACGAGCACCCTGTTGGTAATAAGCAGCAGAGCGAGAGGCAAGGCCATCAAGACCTTGGCACCATGACTCGTTGTTTGATCCGGCCAAAGGAACCAGACCCTGCAGTGCTCATCATCAAGCTTTCGATTGTAACACAATCAGAAAACATAACATGCCAGATATCTGGTACGAGAACGTTGTTTGGTTTACCTTGTCGACCTTAATGCCGGGGACAATGTTCTGCTCAACAAGCACATCAACAATTTTCCTGCCATCAGTTGTGGATTGGTAGAGTGTCTCCTCAAAGAGGATGGCACCTGAGATGTGCTGCCCAAGCCCGGGAACTGTAACGAGCAGCGTCCGGTATGCCTGGCGATTAGCCTCAGTGTTTTCCAGTCCAATGGAGGCAAGTCTTTTCCCACCACAAGTAGCATTTGATTCATCCATGGCCAGAATTCCACGCCCCGGAGACGCAACAGTTTTCTACAAACCATCCAAACAAAATTCATACACTGAAAATTTGCTAAAAACAACAAAGCCATTTCGAACTGAAAATACGTACTGCGGTTTTGACAAGCTCATCAGCATATGAGCTGGTAGCTCTCACAGTAAGAGCAGAAGAGGCAACTGGGTTGCATCTGACCACAGAGGCTGAAGGTTGGGGAAGAGCTTGGCCCTTCAGCCATTCTGGCTTGCCTAAAACTGGGGCTGACTTGAGAAGAGAAGCAGAGGCCATTGTCTTGTAAAAGTATCTGATATAAAGACTGTCGTTCTCTGTTATTCTCTCCCTGTCACAAGCTCTCTGTTTTTTGCCTTCTCTTTCACACAAGGATTTGGTGTAAATTTACTGTATTTATAGTTGCATGGCTTTGCTCTGAGATATGTGGTTTGAGGCTGTGATGCATTTGCCAATGAGTGATTGCCTGGTGGGGGAGACAGGTTGCCTACTTGGCATGCCATGGCTTGGTTGTACAAATTCATGGCTTTTTTTTTTGTCAGGAATTCATGGCTGGGTTTACGCAACTTTGTGAAACCAGAAATAATGAAATTGATTATAAGCCAAAGATTTTTTTTTCTTCTATTTTCTTCTTTGCCTTTAAGCCTCAACACAATACAGAAGAATAAAGAAAAGAAAAATATTAATTCCAATTTACCAAATTTTCTACTGTATTTTCCTTTATTACATATGAAATAAGTTTCAACAAGTTCTAATTATCTACATAGTTCCACAGTTGCGATTTACTTTTGGCCAGAATCCTTATTATATGTTTTTTTTCCCCTTTGAACCAGTATTTTCCATGAAATTCAAAAACTGATTTTAGTAGCAATAGTGCCTGAACTTGTGATTGATTCGCATTTTGGTCCTTGAAACTCTTATGTGCTTCTTTTGAAACTCATGGGTTCATAGTCCAAAAGACCTTGCAATTGTAGGCCTCTAGATTTACAACATAATAAGTTGGGGGACATGGGAAGATCTTTAGGGACAGGGTCCATGACCTGTCCTCAATCATCTCCCCATCAAGATTTGGAAGAACTAGGAAGACTTGAAACCAAACCAATAAAAACCACTCAGCTTGCTGGGACACTTGCAGCTCAAGTGAATTGGAGGGTACACAAGTTCTATCATGTCCACCAATGTCCCATATACACAACTTGTCAGCCTATGTTTGCAGACAGATTTGATTCCCTCATTACAAGAGGGTACACAAATGCATATTTGAGGCTCCATTTATATAGAAACAAAGATAATTGATTGATTATAATAATTCACAAAAAGGACACAAAAGGTCAATTGCTTAAACCGATCTCTTTCATCTAATTTTACACCCTTTCTCCAAACGATGGAAAACAAATATCTTCTAAAACTAGGAGCCTCGTCATCACAATTTGCCAGAATTATCAGCACTATCACTATAAAGGAGACACATGAGCTAAATCTCCGAGAAAATTTTTGGTTTCCAAATCCAACAAAATTGAGGTTTGCCTTAAGAACATAAATTACTTCAGATAAGTAGACGAGACCCAGAGTAGGACGTAGGTTATCAACGACGTTGTCACCTCAAAACTTCTTGGTCCTTTAAGTATGGGTGGAATCACAGACACCATCAAGAAGGTTCCCACAAGCCATGAGAAAACAAATGCTCCAGCACTGCACCAAAGCAAACATTTAATAGAAACCTTTTCACTGTTGCCACATTTCCTAGTTCGAACGTCAGAGGACTCAAAATATGCAATTAAATTTGGAGTGAAAGAAGAGAATATGTCATCATTTTGGAATATTTAGCATGATTTGGTTAGTTTCAATAAGGTTATTCAAGAATACTGATGATACTAAAGTATTACAAATTCTGAGTGATGGGTCCTTACAAGAACTAGTGTGTTTTCAGAATCTTTTGTCAATACAGAAAAATTAAATCGTCCTGTATGGAAAAATCAATAGAAAATTATACAAATATACAGAAATTATTTACATACCTGTAGAGCACAGCTCGTAATTTGCTCTTCAGCCTGTCATATACAAAGTAGATGGTAGCCAACAAGGAAATGGCTACCTGAAGGGTTGGACCCTCTTCGGTTGGAAATAGAACAGTGAGAGCTCCAAGCACGACAAATGCAATGGACGTTTTTATAATGAACTTTGTGGATGGAGTTCGAAACCTATTTCTCACCGCCTGCACAATACGAGACTGATGGACTTCCCTGACCTTTTTTTTAAAGTCAATTTTTGGGTTCTTTCTGTCATAAAACTGCTGCATGATTATTTTGTCATGTGCTGATTCAATTGCGTCCACACTTGGTTTGTGACCTGCATACTGTCGGATAAGGAAGTTCCTTGCACCTTGGATCTCATCTTCAGAAGCCTCCCTGCTTATTCCAAGTCGTTTGTATGGGTCCCTCACATTAATCCTAGGAAAGATAGCTTTACTTGCAAAGGCAGTTAAGAACAAAAAAAGTTCAGAGAGCTAAAGATGCTACTTCATAAATTATAAGTATCTAACAGAAATGAATCAGGTCGACATTAATATATCAGTTCAATGAAATATTTTTAAACTAACCAAGTTACTGATGTCAAGCCTCCTAGAAATACATAAAAAATGCTTTGGTTCGACTCGATTAGCAAATTTAGACACATCAAAGGCCGTAAGGTGACATCTATGTCATGCTTATAAATTCCCGTTTTCCACTCTATTGTGTGCAAGAAAGGCCGGTAAGGTGAAAGTTGAAGGACATGACACATGACTACATGAGCGTCCAGACTTATATAAGATAGATATACAAATGTATGGACACAGAGAAAAAAATTAAAGAAAAACACAACAGCCGCCAAAACAATAAGGTGAAACTTACCAGTTGGTTCATTTGGAATATCACCGTAGGATGCCTTACCAGTTGGTTCATTTGGAATATCACCATAGGATGCATCCATGGCAAACTTGAGCAGATGTGTTTTTCGTGCATTCAATCTTTGTGTAAAACCAGTCCAATAACTTCTGTTTGATTGCAAAAGGAAACATAAATAAACCACATTGCAACCACTGTACTGAATTCGATAACCGATACCACAAGAAGAGCTATACCTTTCCCCAAGAAGTAGCTCATTCTTTCCTGCAGGCTTCCAACTATGAGGGAAATTTGAAACTCGCCCACATAGTGAACCGGAACTGCGTACTGGAATTTGGAAACAGCATCTGGAGGGACTACCAGTCAGTCCAGATACAGCAGTCATCTTTCTGATACTCACTGAAACCAAACCAAATAAACACAATCAATAAAACGGCACACAGAAATTGCAAGTCTTCTTCTCTTTATAAGCAATTCAATCATTTTGTATGACATTTATAATAACATTCCAGCATTATAAACCCAACAGGAAAATGCATTTGAATCATCATAGGCTGCCCAAATCCCTATTTTCTGTACTTGCAATGATTCAACTACGGAAACACTTAGCTAGGGTTGAATTATTTTACAACTTTGAAGAAACTGCGAATTCTGGGTTTTGAGCAGTTTCCCAGAATTCGCAGTTTCCAGAGTTACCCTCATGCATTTTTTTAAATCAATTGGAATTCATAGCAGAAAAAAGAGGGACAGATATTGAGAAGAAAAATAGCATACCTGATGGGCTGATGGTGAAAGGTAAAAGGGATTGAAGAAGACTGTCTTGCGGTGGGCTGTGTAGCAGCGTCTTCTACAACGGATAGGAAACTCACATAGAGAAGAGAAGGTTACACGCTAAAACCCTCCTTCGTTGCCGAAAAACAAAGATGGTACTGACGGGCTTGGCTTGTTCAACCACAACAGATATAAATAAAAAGCACGAAAAGAAATCACCAATCCGTTGTAGTCTAGTTGGTCAGGATATTCGGCTCTCACCCGAAAGACCCGGGTTCAAGTCCCGGCAACGGAATTTTACTTTTTTCTTTGTTTTGTTTTTCCTCTCTCTCTTCTCTCTTCTAAATCAAAGCATCAACTCGGAGAACTAGAAATTCAACTTCTTGCATATGAAATCATGCTCAGCTTAAAATCTTGGAGAAGCTGTAACAAATTGAATTTTTGCTTTTCTCTCCACCATCCATGACAAATCTTAGAAATACAAGAAAACCACCAACATTGGAGCAATGGAGATTTTGGGTAAAAACCGGCCAATTTCTTGCTTTTTTCGGTGATCCAGACGACGGTTGGCAGCGGCTGAGATGTGAGGGTGGTAGAGGACAACGTGCTGGTTCTTTTGATATCCATGTCGTCGCTTGGGGTGGCCGGAGGAGGCGATGGCAGCCCAAAAACTGGTGCGATGAACAGTAACAAATGGGAGGAGCTGCTGTTCTGGAATTTTGGGGGAGATGAACAGTAACATTCGTAACGGAACTTCAAAAAAACTGACGGAAAGGGTAACGTGAGACAGTTTTTTGCACGTTGGGGGGTACTTTGAGACGTTTTCCACCACAGGTGGTAATCTGAGATAAGTTGGAAAGCACAGGGGGCATGTACATAATTAAGCCTTTTTCCAATGTATTTTTTCTTCTTTTTTTACCATTCCAATTGACAAAATAATTGTGCATGGAAATTTGCGGAAAATGGTCCGTGCGTTTTAGTTATGTAAAGTCTTTAGGGAAGGAAAAGTTCCAGAAGGCCATTAAACTCGTTACTAATACACGACACACAACCGGTTTAGCAAATTTTTTTTTCTCCGATTAGATTCAATTGATTCGAACAATCGCAATTTTATCAGATTGATTTCATGAGAGCATTACGTAACTGAAAATAACTGCAAACCCTTAAAAGAGTTTATTTATATAAAAATATATATTTAAAAAGAAAAAGCGTTGGGCCCAGATTAAAATAGCAACTCAAATTGGTACTTGGCACGTGTAAATGAATCCCTATTTTTACGTTGATCATATGTACATTGATATTGTCATGCCCCAACGATTGGCAGGCAGAGCCGGTTACAAGAAATCTGGCACTATGGACAGGCTTTGTAGGTTGCAAGAAAGCAACTGGCGATCGATTGTGAACTTCATCATACGTACAATATGGATTGAGCATACAAGAAGTTATAAACTTCCATTTTCAATCATAACAGAAGATAGTATTTACATGTTTTTACAGTACGATTTATTCTGTACAAGTCGATCTACATAACTGTACAATTGTCATCGCTCCCTGGCATTCTCACATTTGCTAACAGTATGAGCCGCTTTCACAGACAGTAAAAGTCCCACCTGTGTGCCCATGAAATGCCATCATCCAACTGGGCCAAACAAAAATCAAAACAATGAAGCAAAAGATACATTTATACCCCAATAAGAAATTAAAAATAAAAATATAACCAGCCTTGTTGATGATCATCTCATAGATGGAATATAACAATGCAGTCACTTTCCAATGTGTAAGGGAACATGATATTACTAAGAATACCTGTAGAAGCAACAAGATCATGACTGGAAAAGAGTCACAGTTGCAATGTAACCATTCTTCATCACCTGTTGATTATGAACATGATATTTATTACCAATCATAAGCACAACCATAATAGGTGCACTAACTGGAAAAAACCGACTTGTGCAAATAATTGTTGCACTACGAAGAACTTCAAGTTGGCATATAAATTACAACTTTGTTTTCCGTATTACTGGAAAAGGGGGAATTGATTGAATCAAACATTCATCAACTCACCTCAAATGCCGCATTTTGATAACCATATACAAAAGTAGATCCAAATGGATTGCTTGTAGAACCTTGTGTCTGGATGGCAGCTCGGCCACAGTCCCCAAGGATTTCCTACAAAGAGCATTCTTTTGTTACTAACATAACCCCAATCATGATCAACATACACTGAAAGGAGTACAATGATGAAAGATGTCATCAAGGATACAATTAGGTTACCATGAGAAAGCTGTTACTATTGGAAAACAATGCAACAACTATAACAGTCTGAAAAGGACTAGCCAATAGAACGTTTACCTTCACTTGCTCCCACTTTGTGCTTGGTGTAATCCTGTGTTGGTAGTTATTTACCTCCTGAAAAGAACCCCCTACTGCGAGGATGAAAAAAAAACACATGCTATCAGTTTCAGTCCATAGATCCAACTGGAAACTTCAGAATCAGAAAAGGACTTACAGTCAGAAGCAAAGATGACAAAATTGCACTTTATGTATGAGTTGAAATCTGCATGACCAGGATAGTTTGTATGCAAAACAAACTTCTTGATTTTATGAGTCTGGAGACAAACAAAAGAGAGAAGTGATCTGAAAATGTCCGAGCACAAACATTATCATGCAAAACATCATCAATGTACATTTACAAGCAGAAGAATAAAGGGAGATTCACTATTATACCCAATACAGGAGCCCAAATTATTTTTAAAAAACCCTATATGAAATAGACTTTAGAAACACACCCAAAGCCCATTTACAACAAAACAAAAAGGCTTTTAACTTCTTTTAAATTATAAAACTGCCATTGATTTCTTAAAACAAACTCAACCCCAAAACCTCATAAAAAAGCCCAAAACACTCACTCAATGGGGTATCAAAGTAATTTAATAATCAAAACTAAATTCAATAGGGCCAGCTTTCATTTTTTGGGTTTTTTTTTTTGGGTTTGTTTATAGAAATTAAATGGTGTAGGGTTTATTTATAGTTTTAGTGCTAAGAATGGGTATATGACTAAATATCTCAAGAATAAATGATACCTGCCCATCAAATAAAATGTCCAAACCACGGGTAAAGTAATTGTAGAAGTAATCGCCACACAGCGTTGTCCGTGGACGAGGGTCCAATCCAGAATGAATAACCATTTGGTCTACCTACACAGCAAACAGAATCGCGGTCACCAATATGACAAATGCAATTAGAAAACATGCTTAGACGTAACACCAGCAATACCTGCTTTTGATGTATCCCACAAGGACGACCCAATTCAGTCCAAACATCCTGTAAAAAACAGGAAACTGTTACGCAGGACAAACAACAGAACAATGGCAGAATTTCCCAGCCAAAAAGAAAGACAAACTATAGCTTAACAGCAGGAGATCACGAACTTGCCTGAGGCGATGCACCAAAAGGAATATTCTGACCACCAACAGTAAAGTATAATTCTTCCCCTAGCTGGATAAAATAAAATTTGAATTGAATAACATCCAAGAACTACAGTCACCAGTTTCAAACAAGTACACTGAAATAATTTGCAAGCGTAACATTGGGGGCCAATAGTAAACCACTCATGAAGGAAGCCACAAAGCAAAAGCCTTTGATCCTCCGAATCATGGTTTATAATCTCCATGATGCCCATCCTTCATGCTGGACAGTTGATGCAATAGGGGAAAACAAACCAGATTTTAATGGAAATCATGCAGAGAAGATGGAGAAAGAAGTCAAACCTTAACATGCACCTCTTCCATATAGAGGCTGCCAATTGGTAATGGAGGAGCCGAAGCCTTATCCATCAAGGAACCCACACCAACTTTTTTATCAGTAGAACTGTCATAAATGGAGACACGGCACGTAACTGGTGTGGTTCCATCTGGAAACTCTAATGGTAATTCCGCTTTCATAATCAAAAGCAATAAAAATCAAGTTGTTAGAACTAGCAAAATCTGTAAAGCAAGAAACTATTGAGTAATAAATGTCAGTACTATACCTTCTCCATCATGGCAGCAATCTGTATACTGGTTAGGAATTGGAAAAGCAAAGGAAAGTCCCTGACACAGCCATGGTTGGTAGAAACATAAAACAGATTCCATCTTGTAAGATGAGTGAATAAGGAGATAAAATAAAGAAATATGAAGATTAAGTAATTACATACTGGGTACAATAGAGTGTAGACACCTCTATCCTTGTCATAAATTCCAGGAAAGGTTGGCCCAAACAGTGCATATACAGCTACAAAAGTAGCTAGAGTGGATGGTCCCCTGAGAGCAGAAATGAAGTTCAATAATATACATGATTGCATATAATAGAAAGCCTGAAGTAAAGTAACCCACCCAATCAAGGAAGTGGCATAGCGCATTTGAAGTCGTTTTATATCAAAAATCTCAACAAGACGCAGCCTCTGCAATAGAATTTTGAGTTAGCCAACTCTATCATAACATAAGACAGTTGAAGATATTATAATCCACAAAAACAATCCAACAATACTGCCAATCCACATACAAATTTTCCTGGCATATTAAAAGAGATAGCCCAGATACAACAATTAAAAGCATAACAATATCAAACTCTAAAGAGAAAATTAGCTGACTATCGTGTAGTTCTTCTGAATTTCAAAAAGTCTTCAAGATTCTCTGTTTTCGATTATTAAATAAATCACTTGATGAAAGCAGATTATCTTTCCATTCATTTCAAAACGTCCATGATCCCTCTAATGCTTCATGGACTAGCCATGACATTCCACTCTTACATCCTACAATATATTTTTTCTTGTGTACCACTTAAGGTAATTTTCAACACACGGTATTAGCCACAACAACTAATATAACATAATTGGGTAGAGAACTCATGGATTTGCTATCAACATTTCCAATTTTAAATTGATGATACACGAGCAGATACCATAAGACTCGGCCACATGGCCATTAGTTAATACCTGCATCATCCTAGTGGTCATATACTTATTCAACATCAAAGTAAACAAAGCATTACTAATGTGTGAAAATGAATTTTCGATGAGCGAAAAAACAAAGCACATGCAGGGAAGATAACAAATTAAATGTAAGTAAGGAAGAACACCTGTGACCAAGGATCAAACCGAAGATGAAAACCATGATCTGGAAAGCTGATAACAATATCCAACTTAAGAGGCTCCTGCACGGGAGAAGAATAGTAATAAGTGGTTGTTACAACTTATGGTATTTCAACACATACACCTTATGAATCATGGTGCTATTTGTCTGTTATGTAAATTTTGTGCATAAAGGTATCGTAGATGAATAAAGCGAATCACAGCAGACGTAAAAGACAAACAAAAACATTCTAAAAATGTGTGTCTACATTCAATTACACACAAAATAATGATATACAACTCGGTACAATGATCCAAACCTCATCATAATACTTCACGTGGACGACGTCATAAATGTTGGGCTGCTGCTCTATCTGAGCAAATTCTTCGCATATTGGCATTCCGGAAACCAACATTTTGAAGTAATTCCAAAAAATAAGCTGAGCTTGTAACACCAATGAATTTATATAAAAACAAAAACATACCAACGCATATGTTCGTACCAAATCTTTATAACATTAACTATTTGATTCTTAATAACGCAATAAAACACATACTAAGTCTAGCAGAGTAACGTTAAAACCAAGGAAAGCATCTCAAATTCAACCTAAACTAAACCTAGCCAGATGTTAAATGCCTGATAAAACTCTCAAATATGGTAAAATGTAAATTGTCACATAAATGAAATAATCGCATGAACTAAGCCAAGCTAATTTACAAAACCGATCAGTTCCTTAACAGTTATAAGTTTCTAACCTTTTTTCTCGGGATGAAATGAAATTGCACTAATTTGATTCGGATTTCAATTCCACAAAAAATACTCTTAACCATAGGCTAAAAACTGAACAATTGTGAACATATTCGATGATTAAGAAGGCAAATACATAAATTAATAGCAAATCACCGATAGAGAAGGGTCCGATTCCAAGGCCGGGGCGGAGATCTAGCACGATGGCGCCCATGGCCGTGCCCTCGCAGCGTCGTCGAGGTCTCTGCAACATACTGGTCCTAGCAAATGGGTTTTGGTTGGGGGTGATGGTGACGAAGAAGATTGGCTCCGTTACTTTCGCGAAAGGAACGCACAGGTGTTGAATGCTAAAAAACGCCAAACCAAACGCTTCGCGGTGAATGCTTTGCCTCGCTGCACACGAAACATCAACTCTATTGAGTGATGGGCACCCAACAAAAATTGGGCCCGGTATCCATGTTTGGTTTTTCCTTTTTCTATTTTTGTATATGCGCAATATTTGTTGTGTTTTTACCTTTTCAGTTTTAACATTAAAAAGAGAAATATCAATAAACAAAAAGTTAGTTCATAAGTTTTTCTTTTAGGAAAAAACTAGTGATTAAAAATACAATGTAAAATAAGTTGCATTTTGATTTGTTCAGTTTTAGGTTTGGAAACGTTTTCAATGGGAGTTGTCTACTCAATCAATTGGGATAGGACATACAAAAGCATACATGATAGAGTTTTTAAATTTTTATACACACATAAAAATCCATCGATCGATATGACGGACACAACTTTAAAATTGAAGTGAGATACTATTCTAATTTATGAGGAGGGGCACTCGAACTTGAGCACGAGAAGGTGAGCTCACTGTCATAACCGAATAGTCTAACACATGTATGCAACTATAATGGAATTTCAGATAACATTGCATAAACGAAAAAAGGTAAAACCTATCTATTAGTCTTTGTGGTCTCAAGTTTTGACTCATAGTTAGAGATATGTAGTTTGGATTTGTGTTTCATGTATAAGTTCTGAGGTTTTTGCCCACTTTTGGAGTTCGAGGTCCTTAGCAGGGACGAACCCAAGATTTCAAAATAGTGTGGACTAAATTTACCTTATGTACAAACCTATAGAAAATCCAACATATAAATTACCTTGCGTACAAACCTACATAAAATAATTGGTGTAGTGGAGGTTTGTGAATGGGATTTTATTTATGTGTGGTTAGTTTTAATTTTTTATTGTTATTAACTTATTGGTCAGACATGTAGGGTAGGGTTAATGGAATTTTATTGGCTGGAATAGGGATGTCAAGTGGGTTGGGCGATATTATTTTAGCCTACAATCACCTAGGTCAGAGTCCAGATTTGCCTGGGTGTAGGACTATGCCTAGTCCCTAGAACCGAGTTCAAGTGTTGAAATATGTAGTCTACATTTTGGGTCCATATTCATATTATTACGTGGTGGAAACTAAAGTTTACAAGAGGGTGATGTAATTGTGTTTACCAAAAATACCAACTAACAAATAAATTTACATTTCTGACAAAAATAAAAATAAAAAACTAATAAATTTACGTAAGAAATGTACATAAAATATTAGTGGTTAAAAGTTTCTGGTGGAGAATTTGGTGTTAAATTTATGGCATGTTTACTAATCCGTAATTGGATTAGGGGGAATTGAATTGAGGAGGAGTTGAATTGAGGAGAATTAGATTCCGAATTCCTATTGAAATTGTTTACTAAACCATATAGATTAAGGAGAGTTAGATTCCGGATTCCTATTAAAGTTGTTTACTAAATCATATGGAATTGGGGTAGAAGTAGTGCTAATTACTAAATATCCTCATTTTTTGGTTAAAGTAAATGACAAATTTTGAATTTTTAAAATTGTGTGATAAGATAATAGGTTAGTTCTTAAAGAATTAGAATATCACCTCTCACTTAAGAATTGAACTCTTTCAAAATTAGGAATGAATTCATAATTTTGTGTGGGCCCCACTTATTTTTTAATTCATAGATATGAAGTAAATACAGGAATCCTCCCGATGAGAATTCGAATTCATGATTTGTAAGCCATTACAGTGTGTTTGGATGAGAAAATTAAAAAGTACAAAGGATTTCATAAATGACGAAAATTAATGTTTTAGAATTTGTAAAGTTTATTGTTTGGGTGATAGATTTAAAACACGAAATTTAACATTTATTTGTAAAGTTATTTTTTTTTAAACCTCAATTTCTTTGGGATTTTAGAAATGACGACTTTTAAATAGAATTTAAAGTTGGGATTTATGATCTCTAAATTCCATGTTTTTTTCCACACGGAATTTCTAAATGTCTATGTTTTTCTATCCAAACACGGAAATTGTTCATATCAATTTATAAATTCTGACTTTTGTCAAAATCCCAACTTTTTATAAAACAAGCAGCCAATGTACATGAAATATGTGTCCAGCATTTTAGTGGTTGGCAGTTCACGGTCACTTGTTCGACTCCATTGAAAATTGAAATGCATAATCTATTTGTTTGTTGACCCAGAAAAAAAAAAACAAAAACCTAACTGTTTGACCTTTTTTAACAAATCAGCTCCTCAAGATCAAGAACAAAGAATCGTATTCATGTTACTATTAGATGAATGAATTTGCTTTATTATAACAAGTGCTATCAAATGTCATGTTAAACATAATATCTATAAAAAAAATCATTATTAATTATAAACATGCCTTCTTATTCATTCTTATTTTCACTGGTATTTTATTATTATTATTAATGAGTGTTGGAGTCTTCAAACTTAAAATGGCTTTCAAATTAGAAAGAACAAAAGAGAAAAGGAGTACAAGTGATTGGGAGAAGGGAGTACAAGTGACAATAGGTTTCTTTTAAAAAGCAAGAGGAAAGGCATTGTTGCTCAACAACCTCTGAACGAAGAGCGTTCTTCCACCTTCAAATCACAGATAAATTCCGTAGGCAATTAAAAAATAGCTCTTAAGAGCATCTCCAACCGATGTGTCAAACGTGCCACATAGACATTTAACAGCTAAAAATAACACATCACATCACTCCAATTGATATGTCAAAGCTAATGTGGAATGAAGGCTGGAGATTGAGATGTTATTTTTGACATCCCAAAAGCAAGATGTCAAATGAATATTTTATTATTTTTTCTTTTCTTTTCTTATTAATTAAAAATGAATCAACACTAAAATGTAATAATTTAATTTGACATATCGCGTAGAGTATAAAGCTGTGTAAGATGTCAAATTGTCACATCAGCCATCAAATGTAAATATGATGTTTGGTATTTGACATCTCCCTTTGAGATGCTCTAATTCAAACTCGGAAAGAGTTGACCTACAAAGCCTAGCAAGCATTACCCTTTAAAAAAAACCTGTCGTCACTTTTTTTAGGAAATTAATCTATCATCGTTAAGAAATATAAAATATGAAAATTTCCATTATTTAAGAAAGTTCTTTTCGAATTTATTATAATTGTTTTGATGCTTATTTAGTTGCAACCATATATCCACGAGAAAAATTGCATCAACTAATTTCATTAAATATCTAAACTTTGATTGATAAATTTATAGCAAAGCTAACGGTCCAAAAAAAATTAAGCAAATGGTCCTAAGTCCTAAGCATAATTCTATTATCATCATCATCATATACCAAGCGTGTTAAATTTGTTCAGTAAGAGCATTCATAATGAGGGGTGTAAATTGGGAGGTGTAAAACCACTTTTACATCCCTTTTACATCTCCATGAGGTGTAAATATGTTTTTTGCTCTAGTGGGGGGTGTAAATTTGGGGGTGTAGCCGTGGGTCCCATCCTTTTATGTTGACTTTTCTTCATTTTTCTTCATTTTTCTCGGGTGGGTCCCCCTGCAAGGGATGTAAAAATAGATGTAAAAATACATTTTATTTTACATCCTCATGGGAGTGATGTATATTTACATCTATTTACATCTCCTCATTGGAGACGATTCCGGTGACTCGGGTGTATATTTAACATACACCTCCATATACACCTCCCCACTGTGGATGCTCTAACGTACTCAACTAAAGAAGTGTTATTTAAGACATGGATTTTATTTCAATGTAGATTTTTAGTGCTAAGTTGTTATATTGAATATTTTGTAGCATTTGGAAGAGAAGCAAATACGATAGCGAGAACCTTTGTTTACATCCAATATATATGAAAAAAAAATCCGATTAATAAAATGCTAATGATTTTTTCCCAAGACATTCTACATGGAAAATTCACTACTCAGCATCTCACATACTTTCTTTTATAGGTCATCACCAGTCACGCATATCCTAAAAATATACTATGATCAAAATATATTGCGGTAGTGATTATCATTGGCATCTTGGAGTTTTTGGTGACAAAGAAGTAGCAGTGCACTGGTGATTTCGTTGGCGGATTAGAGACATACGAGGTGGTTAAGCACCTTTTACTCACTTGTTGTGTGATTACTGTTTCTTGAGTTGTAATAATTGCATTAACTCTTTGTAAGTGTTTGTTTATGGTCTAGCGGTTTTCGTGTCAAAATTTCCTTGGCCCTTGTGTGGCTATTGGTGGAAATACACTTTGTGGGCTTGATATTTCCGGTGTGTTTCTATGTATATGGATTAACCTTATGTGGTTATTATGTTTCCATCTTTGTATTAACCCTTATGAGTATTTATACTGTCTCTTATAAATGAATATAATTATCATTTTTTTTTTCTCAAAAACATAGTATTATCAAACGAACTTTCAACTATAATTAAGAATTCAACTTTCATCTTTATGTAAAAAAATGGACATTGACTGACTCTTAATTCAGTGATACTCATACTTTTATTTTTAATATTGGAAAATATTTTAAATTAGAATCTCCTTAATAATAAAATTTAAAGCATATAATTATACACACAATATGTTTCTGCCGTCTATTAAAGAAAATGTTAAAGAACAGAGGGCTAATAAAAATAGAGGCAAGGAATGTGTTACTATTTTTGTTACACACCACATCCACAGTTTTATAAAAATAGCGTTAATAAGTAAAAGATTATCAATAAATTGCTAATCATCTAACATATACGGTATTTATTAAATACAATTATAAAGTAGCTACAAGTTTTTTTAAAAAGAAAATAAGGGGAAAAAAAATTCCACTAATAAAGGTAGGGGCATTAAGTTATTCGAATTAGCACAAGTGGTGGTAAGTTTTGGCTGCTACCCCCTTGGGGTCGGTGACCTCCTTTCCCTCAACTGCTACCCTTCCCTCACAGACTTTCCCTCCCCTTTCCTCTTCTCTCATATCCTTTCCTTCCTTTGCCTTCACCCCTCTACTCCTTTGGGCTTTTATTAGTTTTGGTTGGATTTTGGTGTTTTGTTGTCTTGGAATGACGTGGTGGCAGATTGACATTTATTTTGTTGTTTTGTTTTTC